GGGGGGGGCAGCTATGTATGTGGGTGGTTGGTGGGTGCTCTGGTGTAGTTTGCTCCTTCTTTCCTATCAACATCTATCGTCTTTACCTCCCCTCCTTCTTTTTTGTGTTTGTTACTCTCTTGTAATGTAACACCTCTAATCTTTGGCACTTATATGACCTGATTGTGTTGCAAGTGCCGTAAATCTTACGAAAAAAAAATCTTGAGATATATATGTTTTCTCAGGGAGAGCTACATGTTTAACGCCCTGGAGTCTGTGGCAAACTCGGAGCAACCTTTGACCCCTGTGCTGGGCTGTCGGATCAGCAAAGCTCTCGAGCCCCAGTTTGTGCTGGATGATGTTAGTGGTGATGTTTTTGCAGATCTGTTCATTGGTTCCGTTTGATCTTGGAAGATCATACAATTTGATAAAATCTCTTAATTTTTCATGAACATGACACTTAACATTGATTAAAATAATGAAAATAGTAATATGTAACAATAATAATTTATACAATAATAATAATTATTGTTATTGTAATAATAATGATAAAAATGTAATTAATTTGGTGATGACAATATTATAATTGTTTATTGGAAACATTGTCTACTTCTTCACATCTTTTCCAGTAGTCAGATGTTGCTTCTTGGACCTTTATGTAATAAAACACACTGTCTCTTGCCATTCTGCCTACCTGAGTTGTTTCAGTTCCTCGCCCGGTTTCTATGTCCTTTTCCTATCTTCTGGTAGGTCTCCCCCTTCCTCTTTTGCCTTTTACTATTACTTCCTGTACTACTACAGTGGAGTCCATTTATAACGAGTCCTGAAATAACGAGAAGTCTGTTATAAAGACACTGTTCGAAAACCCCGGGTTTTTTTTCCTTCTTTATCTTTGTAAATAAAATACTGCTATAGTGCAATCAGACAAACACGCAAGTCAGTTATAGCGGAATGTTGCTGCTGCTGTGCACAACGCAGGCCAATTATGCATAATGTAAAACCTCACCAGTTGAGAAACTTGTTGGTGATCTAACAAAACAAAGAATGGGAGAGCCCACGTGAGCCAACAATGAAGGCCGGAGCGAATGAGTGAGGAGAGTATGACAGGCACAGAAAAGCAGAACGCATTGCATGATAGGCCAGCCTAGTCTAGCTAGGCCTACCTTGCCTCTCACTTCTCTGATGCAGGAATGGAGAGGTCACAATTCACAATGCTGTGATGGATGGAGTGAGTATGTGACGTGGGCAGGGTTTGGTATGTATCCAATGTGCGCAAGCAGACGGAACGCACCACAGGGTGTGGTGGGGTAGGGGACAACACAGTGGGCGAGTTAGCATGGAGTCCTTTCTTTATGATCGCTAGCGCATAGCTGTCAACATCGCTAGTTAGAGAAAGAAACCTGATTCGATTTTTGATCAAGTAAGACCTAGAGGTCACGTTTAACAAAATCATCACCAGGTGAGATAATAAAAAGATGCAAACAGAGCACCTAACTCATATCATTTCCCTTGAGTTTATCACTGGATCCCCTATAACGAGAATCCTGCTTTAACGGACATTTCATACTGGTTCCCTCCTCGTTATAACGGGATTCCACTACTAATATTAATGGAACCTGTTTGTATAGTGCATTTTTACTTCGCTTGTGTTCTGTGTACTTTACAGCAAAGTTCGAATGAACATACACTCACATTCATCTATACCTTAATTCAGAAATATCTGTGGTTTCTTTCCCTAGGACTCGACCCTTTCTCACTTCTTTCACTCACCTCTCATGAGTGTGCACATGACTGACATGAATATGAATACAGACTGTCACACACAGACACATGCATACACCCACTCACTCAGCTACATTTTTGGTTTTATCTCAGCCTATATATATAAACTTTGACAAATGAGTGAAATTTCAACATTCCAAAGCTTACCGTACCAATTCTTTCTGTCTGTCAGTTTTTGACATCCAGAGTGAACTGGGTGGTGCAGAGTTCGGCTGTGGATTACCTGCATTTGATGCTGGTGTGCATGCGGTGGCTTCTCTCCTCCTACAACATCAAGGGCCGCTTTTGTGTAAGCATTCACGATGAGGTGCGCTACCTGGTGACCAGTTCGGACAAATACCGCGCTGCCCTGGCGCTTCAGATAACCAACCTCCTCACCCGCTCTATGTTTGCTCACAAGCTTGGCATGGAGGATCTGCCTCAGGTGAGACATGATGCCTGAAAATGTTTGCTGTAGCTTTCCAATTTTCCTTTCTTTTTGTCGTGGAAACTTACTGTAGCTGTTATCGATCCTCTGTCAGTTACCAGTTTTGTTAAGCTTTGTTTGATGTAGTAGAGAATTAGGCTCAGAAACTGGGATTGTTTCTCTCTCTCTCATTCAGATGGACATTGGACAGGTAGACTGGCTCAGCTTGTTGAAGATTATGAACTAAATTTCCTATGCAAATTTGGATTCTTCGTGGTTGATTACATATATTTTGACACCAAAATCATAAATTTGCTCTACTGCCTCATGCTATGGGACATTATAGGGTTGCGCATACCGGCAATGGCGGCCATCTTGAAAAATGGAGGCCATTTTGAAAAAAATGCGTGGTAAACATTCAATTTATGAATAAGCATGTCATAATGGATATGTGTGCCAATTTTGGTGCTTGTATGATGATGTGAATGATTCGGCCGATTTTTGCAATTAGCTGCCCCACTACTAGCTTTGTCTTTGTTGAAATGTGCACCCTTGAGGACATATGAACTACTTAAATATAAATTCATGTCAGTGCATAGTGGATGTTAGAAATCATGGGCCCAGAAAATTTGGTTTCCAGTGCTTTGGCAATTCAAGGAACCTTGTTGTCTTTGGATGATAATGGCAACACCTTCTCACTTCACCCGGGTTTTTTTTTCTGCAGTCGGTGGCTTTCTTCAGTGCTGTTGACATTGATTCCTGCCTCAGGAAAGAAGTGACCATGGACTGTGTGACCCCGTCAAATCCCCATGGTCTTCACAAAGGCTACAGGATCCAGCCAGGTAAATTCTGCTGTTTTGCTATCCCCTGTTTGAATTCTGACTCCTTCCACCCTGAAAAAAATGCTATTGGTTGTTACAGTTACTGGAGAAAAAAGTCTGTCTTCAAAAATAAAGTTTTAAGAATTCAACAAAATGGGGTACTCCTTTTGGTTATGGCAGAATTTTGCAACAGTATAAGAAGACTACACAAATGGCCGACTTCTTTGCTCAAATCTTGTGTGGTATGACGTACGCATGATATCAGAAGAATTACTTTACCGATTAAAATTGAAATCCCAGTTTACCGAGTACATGAACTGCTTGATGAAAGTTAATTGTAACGACCTCTCGGCACAACTTATGATTTAATTTTCCATGACAGCAGAGAATGTAGATACATTTTTTTTAAAAATAGGAGCTGAAATAAATTCCAAACTCCTGTTTTACTGTCGAGGGAAAGAAACAAAGTGACAATTGACTGTAAAGCATGTCTTTCAGTGGTTGCAAAGTTAGCTTATTTTAGAATGAATTCTATTTCATCATAAATTATACAGTGCTTTGTATCCAGTGCTAAAACTTTGTCTTTGGTTTTGGAAATACTGGTTAGCTCTGTTGATGTGGCGTGACAGTTGACAAAGGTGCAGAGTGACCACACTTCAGGTCCACGGAGGTACTTTTGTAAGCTTAGTTCGTGACGAGTTAGAAAGAGTCACCATTGTGTCCTTGCTGTTGGATCTTATTCTTTTTTAAAAACAACTTTTCTGAAAATAAGTCCCTGATCTAAGATTAAAAGTTATCAAAAATGGGACTGGTCTGACGAAAGGGTCATGTTTTCTGTTGTGTTCTCTTTGATGCGAAGTGCCAGTAGAACCATGCCTAATGTTTACCCATCTTTCTGTCCAGGGGAGGCTCTTGACATATACAGCATACTGCAGAAGACCAATGGGAAACTCTGATCTGATGGTGTCATACGGATAGTTTGCTTGTTCATCTACTTTCACATTTATTTTTGGCTATTATTCCCCCCCCTTCCTCCCTTGTGTTGACAAAGTCAGCTACCTTTCAATAAATAAAAAGAAAACTTACATGACAAAAGGATGTGTTTTTTCATGATTCTAGAACACCTCAGTATTTTTTAGTTTTAGTAGAGGTTTTACGGCGCTTGCGACTGCATAAGGTCATATGAGCGCCAGAAGATTAGAAGTGTTACAAGAGAGTAACAAATGTAAAAAAGAAGAAGGGGAGATAGGACGATAGATGTTTGATAGGAAAGAAGGAGCAAACCACACCAGAGCACCCGCCAACCACCCACACCTCAGTATTTGCTTATGTAATAAAGACAAAACAATTAAGAGCAGTTCTTAAAAAAAATTACTTCCTTTTGCCTGAACTGCTCTCAATTCTGTTGTCTTTTAACATAATATAAGCAAATGCATGGAAGGCGTGCACCGCACCTTCACAGCTACAAATTATGTTCTATGTGGGTGAAAGATGTACACAATACAGAAGCTATGGGGGGATGTTGCACCTGGCAAAGGGAAGGGGAGGTTTATGTATGTACTGGTTAGTTTATCAGGCTAAAAGTAGGGCAGAAAAAAGAAAGAGAAAAGGGACAGGTAATGAACGACGATGCATCTCAATACCAGCTTTTGGGCGGAGAGGGAATCTTTTGGGCTCATGTACCTTGTTACTCTCAATGATGACAAAAAATGAGTTTGCTTTCCATTGTGCATGCAAGGTGATTTGAATCTGAATTTGAAACAATTGTTGGGAAAAATTTTGATCAGGCTTTTCGAGACGTGCTGGTCACATCCATGTGGGTGTTCCAGAATTCTGTGTGTGCTGCCACTACTACAAAGACAATACAGTGGTTCGGTCAGTGATTGGTATATATTCAGGGTTAATGCCTAACTGACTTCACAATTTTCCTGAGGGCTCATTCAGGGTTCTGACTAGGCCAGGGCAAGATCGACGGCAAAAAGACTCGAGGCCTCGATTCCAAAACTGAAAAAGAGTCGAGGAATCGACTCTGATTTTTGAGTTTGGAAGCTGCTTCAAGTGGGCTGTTTAGAGAGGCCATGACTTCAACACTGCTAAAAATAGCTCTTAAGATCGAGACCTCGAGTCTTGAACACTGCTG